AAAGTTAGCACGCGTTGGTGACCATAAAAAGTTAGGTTATGTTAGCAACGGCTGCAATGCTGCAATTAAAGAATGCACGAATGCGAAATTTAACAAATTTTTGTGGCAAAAGGAAGCATTTGCATAACATTTGAAGATGAGGAACGTGATCAAAAGATGCTGTAGAAGAGCTTTGCACAAACAGTTTGTGCGAAATCGAGAAGCGCGTGTTCTGCGCGATGTTACGGAGTTAGATAAGCGCAAATGTAGTTCATTTTCAAACTGTTTTTCAGAAGTTGAAGGCGCATTGATGACCAGTGGGACCAAGGGCCTTTGGTGGTTAAATATGCCTTTATATACATGGACACCAGATGCATGTGCTTAGAAAGATGATTTTTGATTAAGAACTCAGAGCAAGAGTATCTTTAATGGTGTATACAAATTTGACAAACAACGCATTTTAATGTCTGATAACTACATTTCCTATCCATCAGTTCTACTTCATGAAAGTTAGTTTTGGTTTGTGAGTGCATTAAATGTTTTACAGCAGATTCTTTAGCTACATTATCAAAACTTATCTGGGTGGCAAGTTTATGGGACTTACTGACCAAAAGGTCATGGTGAATAGCTGTAAGTCATAAAGTAAATGAAATTCTTGACCAAGATGTATCCTTCAGTAGTTTCTTCAAAGTGTCTAAATATGTTTCCAGCCCTCTATTGGTTTACCACCAAAATATTTGTATTTCAAAGATCTATGCAAAGATTTGGCGTGCATGTTGGTGTTAATGCCTGCGTTCTTTTGATAACACTGGGCCGATGACTTCATGCGTTCTTTATTTTGAAAGTAGTAAGTGTTTAAATAATTCACAAATTTACTTTTTACCAAAAATTTAATCAGCTCTTGCTTCAGTCTTATAAATTTATTTTCATCTGTTTCTTTTAATACATAATCTAATTTTGTAAGAATCTGATTTATTGTTCCAGGCATTCCAATATGTAGCTGTGTAACTATCATCCGTCATGAAATAATTGGGTACCAAAACCGATATTAATGATTTTATTTCACCAACCAGAACCTCTTATATGTTGGTGTCCTTTCAGTTGGACAGAATAAATGTTACTGGATAATCAATATTTTTATCATCTAACACATGGACTTGTGGTCAATTCAATGTCATAGAGGTTTGTCCCATGTGTGCCATCTACACAAATGATTTTGGCGCCATATTTTTTTAACATATACTCCAGCCCACTGTACATGGAAGCTAATGCAGTCATTTTTGTGCAATTTTTCATGTTCTGATGTACAAGATTTTCCTTACTTCATTTACCAGATATATTATTTTTTCTGCAATGTGGGGAATGTCTTTCATAGTCAGAAGATTAAATCTGGTACATGAACTGAGTTCTAGATTTTTAACAGTTTCAATTATTTTTTCGTGTGTTACACCAGTGCGAATTTGTTCAACTAGATATGTCGTTTCTTTTGTAGTCAGGGGTTGACAGCGAAGATCATTGTGATGAACAACATGAATAGCAATAAACTGAACAAGTACCACTGAGGAAGAATGATCAAAGTGAGCTGTAATTCGTGAAGGACAGACTCCTTGCATTTTGATACTGCCACTAATTTTAGGAGCTCGTATATTACATTTACTAACAGAATTTTCTAGATTACTTCTGACATTCATAGTAGAAAATAATAATTCGTCATATAAAAGAATTAGTTTTTAACTCTAAATCTGCTTTTCGTGTAAAGAAAATCTTCCGTTTTCTTAAATTGTAGATCCTTTACTTCCAACTCAATGTTATAAACGATGTTGAAATGATTCGTTAATAAGTGAAAACGCTGAAAGTTTTCAAAGCATAGCGGACAAATTATTCTGCTAGTTTTTAATATTTTTGAAATTGTCGCCGTGAAAATATCTTAGATGTCGATCTGTACTTGAAATTATTTCACACAATAAGCACATTTTATTAACACTTCAAACTTTTGGATGCTCATACTGAAATATGTTTTGTCATGTCTAGTGCTTGTTTTTACTTAATAAACTAATAGAACTTTATCTGTCCATTGTCCTTTTCATAAAAATTACACCAAATTCTTTAATTAGCCACAAAACAATAGTATATTACAAAATTAATATTTCACTTCCCGCCACAAAAGTACATATTCAACGAAAATGTATAAACGTAAAAGATAAAAATCCAAATATAACTTTGACTGCTGGGTAGCTTCTAAACCCTGGGTGGGTGAACGGACACGGATAATCAGAGTTTTTACGGTTTGAGATTTCATTCAGTTCTATCAAAAATTTTATTGTACATAATAAATAGGTATTTAGAACGTAGTGTGATTTCATTTTAAGTATCAAGCTTCAAAATATACTTTCGTTGCTAATTTTAAAAACTAGTTTTTGATTTTTGTTTTTTTTTGTGTACAGATTCGTTTCAATGCAAAATTAGGTCACTCACATAGAATTTGAACATTTGAAATTACGCGGGCGTAATTTGTTACCCTCATGCGCGGAACTCCAACATTCTTGATAGTCAATTTGTTGTTAAAAATAAAAATAATTCATAATGGAATAAACAAACAAATTTATTGTGGTTAAACATCACAGTAAATGTTGAAAATGTTCACCATTTAGTTCAAGGCACATATTCACTCTCTTTTTCTTACTTTCAAAAATGTTCTGTAACATCCTTCCATCAATGCTTTGAACCCATCGTTCAATTTCATGTTGCAACTCTGCCAAGTTATTCATTTGCCGTTGAAACACTTTGTCTTTCAAATATCCAAATATTGAAAAGTCCAATGGCGTAAGATCTGGGGAACGTGGTGGAAATGCATGCTGCACTCCTAAACTTATTACACGATCGTCATAATGTTGTTGTAAATATTCCAATGTAGCACGTGCAGTGTGTGCAGTCGCGCCGTCCTGTTGAAAGTACCCTAACTGCAGCTCTTCGTCATCAAGTTGTTGAATAAATGGTTCCAAAATCTGTTGCCTATACCTCTCTCCAGTCATAGTATCATGAAAGAAAATAGGTCCATATATTCGTCTACGAGAAACTGCCAACCATACTCCAATTTTTAAAGGATGAAGAGGCGTCTCTACAAAAACATGTGGATTTTCCGCGGACCAAATTCTAAAATTTTGCGAATTGACATAGCCAGATAAATGAAACCATGCTTCATCACTAAAAAATGTAAGGTCCAGTAACCCGTCATCATGAAAAGTATTCTGAAACCAATTGCAATATTCTACGCGGCGTGGAGGATCTATTGGTAAAAGTTGTTGCACAGTAGTTATTTTGTAAGGATGCATATGCAATCGTTTTTTCACTACTTTGTGACATGTGGTTACGGGAACTCCTGATTGTTGAGATAATCTTGTCAAAGATGTTTGGGGATTCTGCTCGAGTCTTTCTCTCAAATCATCAACAACTTCCTCAGATACTGCAGGTCTCCCAGAAGATTTCCCTTTGTTGACATTGCCAGTGCGAACAAATCTGTTGATGACATCTCTAATGTGAGCCTCTAATGATGTTTCTTGAATTTCCAAATCAGGGTAATTGGCCAGATATTCTTGCTTACAAGCGGGTACAGAATACAGCCACGCTCCGTCTACGAATGTCCCATTGCGATAATAAGACATAACGATGAAAGTGTTTTGCTCAACCGAATAAACCATTTTCACGGTCTTCGCTTCGAACTCAAAGTTTTCGCACGCAAGCACCAAGAGCCTTAAGAAAGGCTATTTTGTTGTTTTAAACTTGGATCAACGAGAATTACTGTAAATCACACTTGGAAAGTGGTAGAACAATAAAAGCGATGATTTTAAGTGACAGGTTACAAATGACAAGCACAATGACAAGTGAGAACTGTCAAATGAGACAATTTCAGCAAAGCGGCATTTTTGAAATCCATGGCCAACTACGCCCTTAGAATCATTTATGAAAGCCCTGTATAATAAGCGGAAGTCGAAGCAATAAAACCGATGGTCGTTTTGTTTACAGTTTCTCTGTTTGACTCTCACGTATGCTGTTACGCTTGTCATCTTAAATTAAGAATGTTTATACATAAACGATTTTCAGTTGCTGTATACGTGAGTAAATTGTTTCGTTATTTTATTGATTATAAAAAATCAATATTCATTTTCCCGAAAATTTGGGAATACAATAATTTTATTCTTAGTATTACACTACATCTATCCCAACTGATATACGTATCCTTGCAAAAATGTTGACGTCATCGCAATTTTTTTTAAATTCGCACTACAAAAATGTAATGAGAAAAAAACACAATAGCCATGCAGTCGTCAAGTTTCCGACAGCGAGGGAAGTACTGTCTAAACTCTTTAGACCAATTTTTAAAAATACGTGGTGGAAAATATCGCCAAATTGAATGAATAGTGTTGTTGTTTAGGTACCGGCTGACAGATTATAAATGTAATTAATTTAGGATTATGATTATGACATAACTAACTGCTTGGAAACCAGTTTCGATAAACTATGTAGATTGTAGATATGCACTTAAAAAAAGTAGTAAAAAAATTACTTGCATTAATTTAATCCTTTTTAGAAAAAAGTTGGAAAGAATTTGAATCTGCATATTTCGACAAAAACCATTGGCGGCCAAAACAGGTTCCTAATGTTCTAAATAATTCATCGTATTCACTAACATAGTGCTTAATAACAGAAAATAAAAGTTATACGAAAATTACAATTGCTACCATAATGCGTCCAAAATCGTAAAGTAGGTTTTTAAAATAAGATTGAATTGTAGTTTTCAGTAATCAGTGTCATTACTCATCATTAAGACTTTGAAAAGTATAAATTGTAAAATTTTCTTGTAAGTTTTCTTTTTATTCTAAAATTTACACCGGTAAGTTTAAAAACAAAAGTTTGTCTAGTGAATCTAAAATAAAAACTAAGCTAAAAATGCAAATATTATGTTCCTTACGAGTTAAAAATGATTAACCATATAACATTACTAAAATAAATCAACAAAAATGTTTATACAATTCAAATGTATTTAACCAGACTATATAATAGAGTTTTAACTATAAACACTGCTTCCTTACAATATTTAAGCACCAGTGTATTAATCCCTTTTCTTAAGCGTAACTTTGACACCATTCCCCGATTTTAAAACAGTCTCTGGAGACAACTGCACTTCATGCCTAGGGACGGTTGGTTTTATTTCGAACTGCCGGACTATTTTCGAAATAACACTTTTCATTTCCAACATGGCAAATTTCTGGCCTAAAAATTGCATGTGTTCTTGTAATTTGCTAGAGTATTTATTAACACAAAACCTACCAATACAATTTCTAGATCCAGCACTAAATGGAATATACGAAAAAGAGAACGCATTATCAATATTTTCGAATCTTTCTGGTTTAAACTTTTCAGGTTCTGGAAAATAATCCTGATTCCTGTGTAAACCATAAATAAAAATGACAATATTAGTATTCTTGGGAATTACATAACCATCTAAAATTATTTTTTTAATAAATATACACCACTCTAGACTTCAAATTCTACCGAAGTTTATTTCCTCCGTCGTATGCCTTCCAATGACGGGAACTGAAGGATACAAACGAAGAGTTTCTTTCAGAACGCACTCCAAATATTTCATCTGTTGTAAATCGGAGTACGTCGTTGCAGGTTTCTTCCGATCTCCGAATATTTCTTTCTGTTCTTGAAAAACTTTTTCCTACAGTTTAACGAAGGTGTTAATATTTATCTAAGATTCCTTCGGGTACTAAAATACCTGGACTTCCGGATGATCGGCTAAACAATACAACGCAAAACTAATTCCAGACGCTGTGGTATCATGACCCTAAAAATCATAATCGTCTTTCAAAACAAACCACGAGTTTGTCGTACCTCAAACATAAAAGTATCGACTTCTTCACGAATTTCAGAGATACTGAGGTAATCATCTTTTTGAAAAAACTTCAACAGTGCATCCAAAAAAGCTGTCTTTTTCTCATCATTTCTGACAGGTCTGTCTTTTTTAGAATTGATAACGTTCATAGTAAAACCGTGTAAAATTTTTAACGCCTTTTGTTGCTTATAATAGTCTCTAGTCAACCAATAGAATACATCGTGGATTTTAAACGGCGAAAAAGCTCTCTCGATGACAGTTTTACACATATTTCTTACGCTTTGGACGTAGGCGATGTTATGGCCACTTTGAGCATTTATTTTTGTACCCATAGCGGTTTCTGCAATATTGTTAGAAAACGAAATTTGATAGTAACGGACTTACCACAAATAACATCAAGCGCGTATAATGTGGTTAGAGTATGTAAATCAACACTAGTGTCTTCGTCGTACTCCTGCAGTTTTTCTATAAGAACGTCTCCTGCAGATTCGAAAACTTCAACGAATTTTTTTAGGATTTCGAAATGGAAAGCGGGTGTTAAAATTTTCCGGCGTCTTTTCCAGTAGTCGCCTTAAATCTTATGTTTGTATTTTTGCCTTGTTTCTATTTCGGAACTTACCATCGCTTACCAATAATCCGTTTCCAAGCCATTTCTTTAAAAATTTGTAATTTTCAGATTTTTTGATCAGGTTGTTGTTGCTTAACATGAATTCGATCAGACTGTGATCTTGAGTGAGGAGGCCTTTGCGGACAGGACAAATGTCAGGTCCGAATCTTAAAGTAACCGTGTCACCATAGCTGAGAAAATTTTTTGCGCCATCCAATATATCTGTCAATTTTTTTTAATATCACAATAGTTGCTATATTTGGCAAAACAGTTGTAACTTTCAAAGAAATCAAGCCGAAAATAACTTCTGCATTCGAAATGAAAAAAAAAATATTTAGGTATTTTTCGAAAGTGCTATGTACTAAAAGTAAAACAAATATACATTACGTGTGGTGGAGGTTATATGTAGTATGTGCCCCAAAAGTATATTTCCTGGTGGTTGAGGGAAGCTTTTGTCACATTTTGTTCGTTTTTTCTTTAAGAAAAAGTATAAAATAATTGCAAGGAACAACACAGTGACCACCAACATTTTGTCACACAAGCTGACATGATAAGTGCTGAGAACGAATTCAGATTACACATTTCGGAACCGGCAATGCAACCTATAAATTTATTCACTCAAGTAAATTCATTAACTTATGATATTATAGTTCGACCTTGCACAAACTATGAATTCAGAATCTGGAATTATTGACCTTGACATTTAGAGATTTACTGCAGGTTTCTCATGCATACAAATAGAGTCAATTTTTTCTATTGTTAATCCACGATGAATGTAGTTTTCAGCTACTGTTAAAAATGTTACATTGTGATCTTCGTAAATTTACTTAAATTTTAAAAGGATTGAAGTACGGCGCACATTTATCATAACAGAAGTAGAGATAAATTCATTTATTTCCAAAACAAAATTTGCACCAATTTCTGCAATAATCTACAACTTTACTACAAAAATGGAAAATATTATGAGAGACCAGGATAAGTTCCTGTAACATTTTTGATCCAGTCAAAGTAGTAATAAGTTCTTGTGTAGCCTGACGGATTGGTGCTTTCACAACCATTAGCACTGAGGAAACTTGCAACACCAACGAGAAAATAATTCTTTGGAAATTCGATTACCAAAGGACTCCCAGTGTCACCCTTTAAAAAAAAGCAAGCCTCATTGCAACGAAATCAGTGTCTTCTAGTTTACTTACCACACATGTGCCTTCGTTGTAATTGCCAATGGCACAAACCATACCATCAGTAATCTGATTTCCATAAGTCATTTTACATTCTGTATTGGTAATAGCCGTCATTTTTACGTATCGTAGATCGTCGCTAAGTTCGGCGTCATCTTGAAAAAATTAATGAGATAAAACAATTGGATTATTGATGAAAGTACTGTCACTAATTTGACCCCATCCTAGACCAATCACATCTGCGTAATCGTTTAGGGGAAACTCCGGTGTGTACACAGGTTCTAGATATGCTGAAATCATTCAAACATTAAAGTTAAAGTTATTAATAAAGTAAAGCTGCAAATTCACCAACACTTTTAAGTACACCTACAATTAAAATCAATTGGTCTTCGAAACTCAATCAATCCAATATCATTTTCGAAAGTGTCTGCATTAAAATCGGGATGTAGAACATAAGTAGACGTTGCTACAGTCAAACCGTCAGGCTCGGCTGATTCTCGATGATTTGAGCCAATGTGGATGGTAAATAGAATGGCACTACAATTTAAAATCACATTTTTTTTTTTAATTAAAAATTGCTTATAATATACTTGTTAACGCAGTGACCAGAAGTGACAACCCAGTCGTTACCAGTTAGAGCTCCACCACAAAAGAATTTGCTGTCGGCTGTTTGGACATGAATTGCCGCGGCAAAAGGAAACTGTCCGGCTCTGGCAACGTCACCTCCGATTATTCTCGATCCTAGAAATTGTTCACCTGTTACTACTAACGGTTAGCATAATCAATGAATTACCCTTGGTTGCAGCTTCCGACTAAAATTTGTAAAAATATTATTGTTATAGAGAGTAGTTAGTATATTTACCTGCGAAATGTAAACAATGAGGGCTACGCCCAAAAAGATTAACTGATTGCGCTTCATTGTGAAGAGTGGATTATAGTAGATCTCATGGTGTTTTATAGAGTAGCTGTACCAATAAAAATTTTTCTTAAATCCACTTATCAGCCAAATTATCGGTACTTATATGTGTCTTAAATGAGCATTTGAAGGAATAAAAAAATTGGTCTAAAGAGTTTAGACAGTACTTCCCTCGCTGTCGGAAACTTGACAACTGCATGCCTATTGTGTTTTTTTTCTCATTACATTTTTGTAGTGGGAATTTAAAAAAAAATTGCGATGACGTCATCAACATTTTTGCAAGGACACGTATATCAGTTGGGATAGATGTAGTGTAATACTAAGAATAAAATTATTATATTCTCAAATTTTCGGGAAAATGAATTGGGTCGTTTGAACATTGATTTGTAATAATCAATAAAATAACGAAACAATTTACTCACGTATACCTACGTATCAGAGGCAACTGAAAATCGTGTATGTATAAACATTCTTAATTTAAGATGACAGGCGTAACAGCATACGCGAGAGCCAAACAGAGAAACTGTAAACAAAACGACCGTCGGTTTTATTGCTTCGACTTCCGCTTATTATATAAAACATTGGGTTTTATTTTAATTCTTGACGGTGAAATTCACAATTGGTTGATTATAAACATGTCTATTTCACATTCGCGGAATCAAGTGAACGCATAAAACAAATGCAGGTCTGTAATGTTAAAGTCGATGTAAATAAGGGTGCTACCCTTATGTTTCAACCGAGTTTTTCCTTTAACAAATTTTGTGTCTACCAAATTGGGTTGGTTGGCGTGTAATACTAATAATAAGTGTTGCCTTTAATTTAATCAATAAAATAAATTGACTTCATTAATTTTTTTGAACCACCTCTTAAGAAAATCTAAAAAATATGAATGGAATGATAAATCACAAGTACAAACTCATCATATTTTTTGCATTTTAGATAGGATTTATTCAGCAAAATTTAAGGCTGACGTCATCAATTTTTTTAGGAGGGATGAACAAATACATTTTGAACAAAAGTTTACCATGCTTATAATAACTTTAAAATATTCCCAAGATTTCAAAGCATTCGGTTTTGTAATTCCTGATTAAATCGATAAAATAAATTCACGCCTTCATTAATTTTTTTGAGTCACCCTGCATATGCAAATCCAAAAATATGAATGGAATGATAAATCACAAGTACAGACTCATCATATTTTGTACATTGTAGATACGATTTATTCGGAAAACTTTTGAGCTGACCTCATCAGTTTTTTGTAGAAGATAACCAAATATATTTTGACTAAAAATTTATTATGCTCTTTATAACCTTAAAACATCTGCAAGATTTCAAAGCATTCGGTTTTGTAGTTCCTGATTAAATCAATAAAATAAATTTACGCATTCATTAATTTTTTTGAGTCACCCTGTATATGCAAATCGAAAAAATTTGAATGGAATGATAAATCACAAGAAGAGACTCACCATATTTTGTACATTTTAGATAGGATTTTTTCAGCAAAATTTTGTGGTGACATCATAAATTTTTTAGGGGGGACGACCAAATACGTTTTGATCAAAAATTTACCATGCTTATGATAATTTTAAAATGTCTTCAAGATTTCGAAGCATTCGGTTTTGTAGTTCCTGAGTAAATCAGTAAAATAAATTTACGCTTTCATTTATTTTCTTGAATCACCCTGGATATGCAAATCCAAAAAATATGAATGGAGTGATAGATCACAAGTACAGACTGATCATATTTTGTACATTTTAGATATGATTTATTCGGCAAATTTTCGAGCTGACGTCATCAAGTTTTTGGAGGGGATAAGCAAATATATTTTGACTAAACATTTATTATGCCCTTTATAACCTTAAAACATCTGCAAGATGTCAGAGCATTCCGTTTTGTAGTTCCTGATTAAATCAATAAAATATATTTACGCATTCATTAATTTTTTTGAGTCACCCTGTATATGCAAATCCAAAAAATATGAATGGAGTGATAAATTACAAGTACAGACTCATCATATTTTTACAGTTTGGATAGGATTTATTCGGCAAACTTTCGAGCTGACGTCATCAATTTTTTGGAGGGGATAAGCAAATATATTTTGACTAAACATTTATTATGCTCTTTATAACCTTAAAACATCTGCAAGATTTCAAAGCATTCGGTTTTGTAGTTTCTGTGTAAATCAGTAAAATAAATTTACGCATTCATTAATTTTTTCGAGTCACCCTGTATATGCAAATCCAAAAAATATAAATGGAGTGATAGATCACAAGTACAGACTCATCATATTTTGTACATTTTAGATATGATTTATTCCACAAACTTTTGAGCTGACGTCATCAAGTTTTTGGAGAGGATAAGCAAATATTTTTTGACTAAAGATTTATGATGCTCTTTGTAGCCTTAAAACATCTGCAACATTTCAAAGCATTCTGGTTAGCAGATTAAAAATTAAATTTCAAAATGTTGTTTTATAATTTCGATTTTTTTTCCACAAATCTGGACGTTTCGGGTGAAAAGTCGATTCAGAGTTGTAAACTACATGTGTAGGACTATGTTATTTTATACAATTGAAAACCCATTTACTATGTACAATTTTGAAGTGACGTCATCGCATTAGTGGTGGGGATGATTAGACAAATTTTGGTTAGCGTTTTACCATCTACATTATATTCTTAATATAAGTACAAAATTTCACAACAATCGGTCGAGTACTTTCGGAGATTATCTGTCTAATAAAAATCCGGGACGGCAGACGGACAGACGGACAGACGGACGGACAGACGGACAGACAGACGGACAGACGGACGGACAGACGGACAGACGGACAGACGGACAGACGGACAGACAGACGGAAATGGGAGACCTATTTCTTCGTCTTCTAGGGGTCATGAAAGATCGAGAAAACGTAAAAGTAGAGAGTCGGCCGACGGACTCGATTACAATACTTCCTTTGCTTACGCTCGGGAAGTAAAAATATACTTTAATTTAGAATAGGCAAAATGTGCATATATTTTTCACGTTGTGCAGAATTAATATGAAGCTTCAACGAGCAGAGACGGAACTTCAACTAGCAGGACCAGCAAAGTTTTAGTCGGTCGCAATAGAAATAATCAATTCTTGGGTACCATTAACGTAAATGTTAATGTTAATAAATAAAAGAATAAAGTTTGGTATTTCACTTAAATTGTTCTCTACCATTTTATTCCCGGTTGTAAGTAAAGGTTATTAAAACGGAACACATTTATAAGTTACGTGTTTCTGCATTTATTTCTCCGTGTTATACACATTATTTAAAAATATGCGTCCTGTCGTGTGTTATTTTGTATCCATTCCAAGTAAGGATACGTTCTTGTGTAACCAGAAGGATTCAAACTTTCGCAACCGTTCGCATTAACAAAACTGGCAACGCCAACGAGAGCATAATATTTTCCATAACCTGCAACCAGTGGACCTCCATTGTCACCCTTGTAAAAAAAAGTACTAAGTATTATTCAAATTCAGACAGTGCTTTTTGACATACGATACAAGTTCCTTCGTTGTAATTGCCAATAGCGCAAACCATATTGTCAGTAATTTGATCACCATAGATCATTCGACATTCTGCATTACTGATGGTCTTAATTAATAAAAATCGTAATTCGTTACTTAATTCTGGATCAGCTTAAATTATAAATTTATACATTTGTTGTAAAGTTCAATTAAGGAATGTGCTTACTGTCACTAGTTTGTCCCCAACCCAGTGCATACACTGAAGCACCATCTTGTAAACTAAATTCCGGTGGATAAACGGGTCCCAGATATACTACAATCAAACTACGACTCTCATGTCCTTATTTATAAGTTCTATACTTACTATTGTAGTCAACAGGTCTCCGAAATTTAATTAATCCGATATCATTTTCGATAGTGTCTGGGTTAAAATCGGGATGCAAAATATAGGTAGATGTAGCTATCGTCATACGACCAGGGTCATCCGATTCTAAATGGTTTGAACCAAGTTGCATAGTAAATAGGACGGCACTTTAATTTATGACCTTGTTTAGTGTTTCAGATAAAAATATATATGAAATAATACTTATAGACGCAGTGTCCTGCTGTGATAACCCAGTCGTTGCCAGTCAGTGCTCCTCCACAAAAGAACTTGCTGTCAGTGGTTTGAACATGAACAGCTGCAGCAAAAGGAAACTGGCCAGCATATGCAACTTGACCACCGATTATACGTGCTCCTAGAAATCATGCATTTTTTTTGCTTTGTTAAAAACTGGATAATATTTGCCATACCATAGTCTCTTTGTGGTATAGCTTCCACCTAAAATTGAAAAAAAATATTAAAATTAATTTCTTGAAATTTACATAATTAATATAATCACCTTGTAAATGTAAACAATGAAACTTGCACACAAACAAATTATTTGATGACGGTTCATTTTGAACAATGGATTATGAAGTCGAGATCTGATCTTGTTTTATAGAATAATAATACTTCAATAAAAATATTTGGTAAATTCGGTTATCACTTATCAGAATTGGTAGGCAGTGTTTACATTTATTATTGGTAAATCATTTTCGAAAATTATATGAACAAATTTTGAACTCGGTTTAAAATTTGTCAATAAAATGTTTAAAAATTTATTACGGACATTTCTATTAGCACTAACGTTGAGAGTTCTAAGTAAATTAATTTTTGTCACAAAATTTTCTATTTCCATATTTACACAGTAAAACACAATCATGGTACTGGGATGAAAGTACAGAAACTCAGGATCTTTGGGTCGTATTTTTATCTAACACAAAGAGAACGATACGTAGATACTAGATTCATTTTGGAGAAATATTTCAGGAGAATATTTTAATAAGCACTACAAACAGAAGTACTTGTTCAGATCGACCTCCATGGCATCAAAATTTTTGTTATTGTTTTTGTTTCACCATCATGATAATTGATCCGTAACTAAATCCTATTAAATTGTGGTGGATTTAGACTTTTGTTTTCAAGTCAAAAGTAAAAATAAGTTTCAAAAAGACCGACATTATGTGATGATTTCTAATAGGAACTAATCATGCCTTTAAATCAAATAGTATCGAAAATTCTGCCTAGTCAATATGATTATCACAAAGTTTAAAAACAAGCGGAAACACAAATTCGTTTTAGAGACTCTAACTTCATAAACAAATTGATTTAAGAGTTTTCTTTGTACTATTTCTCATCTTCATCTAGTTATATAGTTTTTAATGTAGCGGTACTATATTCTGGAATAAATTTAACAAAAACATAAATGGCTTATGAATAGCACAGAATTAAAACTGTGTCGTTACGTCCACTAAGTCAAAGATTTGTCAATAATGTAGTCAATGTGATTGTTAAAACGAAGTTGAGAGTAAATTTACACCTAAATCTTGGAGTTCGTCAATTTCCTCTAAAAACTGATTTTATTGATATTATAACTCAATTGCTGCGTGCAGATTTGATTAAAAAACTGAAGACGAAAACCATTGAAGTTGACTAGTTACAATGGAATCGAGTAACTCAGGAGCTGTTAATTTTTCAACAACCGCCTACATAATTTTCACCTACGTTTCTCTACCCGATCAAAAGTGGGAAGAATGTAACTGTTTTTCAACATTGTAGACCATCTCTCAAAGATGTTTTAAGCAAAAAAATAAAGAGTACTAAAGAGAAAAATTTCGGTTTTTTATAAGAAAACGTGGGGCACCGTTAGGAGCAGATTTCATATTAAAAATTTCATCAAATACATCAGATAAACTCATTTATTTGAAATAGACGTAGTTATCAAATTTACCTTTTTCTAATTCGGTACACAATCAGCTGTTGTTTTTAAACGACATAGTTCTTTAAGTTTCTTACTAAACTACTAGCCTTACGGTTGTTGACTTTATAAGGAAGCAATATTTCTATGTCATGCAATAAAATTTCATAGAAAGCAGCAACTTTACAGAAGTTTAAAATTTAAACAAAAATCTTAGTAAGTCGTCGTTAGGAAAATCAAAAATACGAAATTCAGATTTCCGTTAAGGCGCAGAGCAAATAGACCAAGAAGGGCCAGTAGTGAAAATTTTGAGAAAATACACTATCCAATTCAAAACAGATGTCAAGATTATGGATAATAATAGAAAATATTATGAGACAAGACACACATTTCTCATATTGGAAGTTTTATTAATTTGTTTCAAATTTATTATGATCGCCAATGCCGAAAGAAATTCTTAAATTTTTTGGACATGGAGTAGGGTTGACTCAATCAGATACTTTGCAGAAGTCGAAATACCCCGATTTTAATAATAATGAAAAAACTTTCAGAGTTTAAAAAATATATTTGTAGTCACTGCTACACGTGTTTCGGTACACAGTACCGTCTTCAGGCAGAAGAGAAACAGTTTCTCTTCTGCCTGAAGACGGTACTGTGTACCGAAACACGTGCAGCAGTGACTACAAATATATTTTTTAAACTCTGAAAGTTTTTTCATTATTATTAAAATTAATATGGAGTTTAAACACGTATCAGCCTCATCAATACAAACAGAAATACCCCGAATTAACCTCGAACCTGTCTTTAAAAGCATCTATGATAAATAGGCTTCGGATTTTACGTCGTTAAAAATTGAATAAAAGGAGACAACTTTAGTTTCCAAAAGTGACGAATTAGGTTATAAAAATCTTAGTTTAGATTAAAAACCTGGAAGAAAAAATTGCTCAACGAAAAAGCATACATCAAAAAAATATATTAAAATGAATTGGAATAAAATTTATGATATTTCTGGCCTAGATGAAAAGGTAGATTGGTTTAACGGCTGTCTACTGTCGTTGTTTGATGTTCATGCTCCGGTTAAAACGGTAAAAATAATGCGCAACAACTATACCTGGTTTACTGATAATTTGAAATTCCTAAAACAAATAAAGCAGAAGGCGTGGAATCGTTACAAAAAAACTTTAAAACTTGAACACAAAAATTATTATTGCCAACTAAGAAACTATTACAATTCTGCTATAATACTAGAAAAACAAGCATATTACCGTCACAGTCTGGCCTCATGTGGCCGTAACTCGACCTTATTCTGGAAAAAAATAAAATCCTGGAGTAATATGACGTACCACAATGATTTATCTAACGTACACCCTTTTAATGACGTAGGTTTAATAAATCAATACTTTATCGGAAGTATTCCCCAATCAACTCCTGATGTCGAGTATCTATCCGAATTCTCATCCCAATATTATGATAACAATTCAAAATTTTCTTATCATCCCGTAAATACTGACACGATTAATGAACTCATTTCAAAACAAAAGTCTTACTCTGCTGGCCTTGATGGAGTATCAGGTAAAATGTTGCAAATTGCTCTTCCATGGATTTTACATCCTCAATTACTCTTTCGAACTAAGTCAAATTCCTAGCCAATGGAAATGTGCCTTGGTAAAACCAATTCCAAAAAAAGGTGCTCCAACCTGCCTTAAAGATCTCAGACCAATCAGCTTACTTAGTACATTGCTGAAAATAGCAGAATCAGCCCTCTTGCAACAATTAAATATATTTATATTTCAGGCAAATATTCTTCCTACTGTTCAATCAGGCTTCAGAACTCACTTTAGCACGACCACTGTTTTAAGTTCCCTAATTGATGACGTATTGAAAGGCTGCTGTGACAGTAAAGTAACTTCACTTACTTTATTGGACATGTCTAAAGCGTTCGATGCGGTTAATTTTAAGTTATTGCTTGCTAAACTAAAATATTATGGCTTTTCTGAAAACTGCGTAACTTGGCTCGAAAACTACCTTCTTAATAGATCTCAAGTCGTATCCTGTCATGGTTCTATTTCTAAACCTCTTACAATAAAAAATGGTGTACCTCAAGGATCTGTACTAGGTCCTGTCTTGTTTTCTATTTATACGGCTGACTTCCCTAAATATCTTCAACATTGTCAACTTCATATGTATGCTGACGACTTTCAAATTTATTATTCTTTTAATCCTGTATCTGAACATAACGCTCCAGAAAAAATTAACTCAGATCTTGAACGTTCACGTGAATGGACTTGTAAGAACTGTCTTTCCTTAAATCTTGCAAAAACTATTTCAATTACTTTGGGTACACCAAATAAAATAAGAGCAATTGACCCTTTTCCTGTAAGATCGTAAAACTTCCATCGTGACTTTCCGTGCGCACGCATCTTCAAAACCACGTTGGAAATAGTATCCGGCACTCCGGCAGCAGAGCAAAGGCCTGTGACCACAGTATAGACAACAGTCAGTATGGACAACTCGTGTCGGCGCCTTTGATCTTTTTGACCCGAATTTTAAGCCGTCATCGGTGGTCGTTGTCCAAAATATTTCTAGATGTCGCCACCCAATTTAAAAAGGATCACAAACGCTTCATTTTAAAATTGATTCGTGTACACAATTTACTACACTTTGTGCAAATGAATTTTTGGAAAAGACTTAAAAATAGTGTAATAACAATAACATTTTATAACTAGTTGATCTTAGAAACCACACAGTCTATTATAATAAATAATTAATTAAGCGCCCTATAACTACTGGGATGCCATGTTGAAACTTAGATGTGGACCGCTTTTCTGATTACGATTTTACGTTTCATTAATTTCTTTTTCATGATGGCTGTAAATCGTTGTAAAATTCAACGTTATTAGAAAATGCTAATATATGTACATTTATTTTTTTTACAAAAAAAAATAAACAGTAAACAATGGTCCTATGAAAACGTGAACAACGCTTTTTAAAATGTCTCTGTGAAAATTACACTTAACTGCAATTATTACACCGGAAGATCAGCCTTAAATCATCAAAACCAATGCAACTAAACTGCCAAATTTCAAATATTTCACAATTCACATTAACGTCACTAGATAACAAAAGTACCGCAGTTCAATGTCCCAATGTGTAAGAAAGAGAAGTACCTTGCGTTGCGCGCCCTCATACGGTCACAAGACAAACGACCACCCATGAAAACGGGTCAGTAAAAACAGCGAGTTGTCTCTACTGATTGATATCTATACTGTGTCTATACTGTGACAAACCGCTTTGACAGAATGCAACCGGCTATACATGCGTAATCTGTCGCTCATTGGTTAATTTTAACTTGGCGCTCCAAAAATCTGACTTCGCCTGCGCGATGTTGTCTCACTCTGTATCATTGGAATTTATATAATGTCTACTCACTTTGCTTACAGGAAAAGGGTCAATAAACTCAGATCTTAATCTTCATATTGGAGGTACCACTATTTCTTCTGCCCGAGTAGTTAAAAGTCTTGGGTTACATATTGATAATCAGCTAAAATTTACTGACCATATAAATAAGATCTGCCAAACCACATTTAATGGATTCAAATTGATTTCCCCTTATAAGAACCTTTTAGACATTCGCTCCAAACGCCTGTTGACTGATGCCTTGATACTTTCACATTTAAACTATGC